AGGCCAGCCTGAACTGCATAGCGAGACCCTGTCTCAAAAGACAAAAAACAAAACAAAACAAAAACAAAATAGAAATTACAACCGACTATATGTGAGTGGGGGCCCAGAAGTGTGTTTGAAAAGCACACTTCTAGAGTGACTTTGTTGTTGCATTAAATTGCCTAGGCTGGCCTGAAACTAGTGGTCCTCCTGCCTCAGTCTCCTGAATGCTGGGATTATAGGCCTGTACCACTAAATCCTGCTTGTGAATTAAATTTTGTGGCCACTTCCGTGGGGGAAGAGTGAGCCAAAGAAGAGAATGCAATACTTTTCTTAAGGGAGTTAAGTCCTCTGGATGGATCCACTTCCTCCAAGTCTTTGCTTGTTTTTTAAAGGTTCACCCCTTAACCAGGTGTGGTGGCCCAAGCCTGTAATCCCAACACTCTGGGAAGCTGAGGCAGGAGGATAGCAAGTTCGAATGGAGTCTGGCGTGGGCAATTTAGCGTCGATTTAGTGATTCCGGGTCTCAAAATTTAAAAAAAAAAAAAAAAAAAAAAGGCTGGGGATGAAACTCTTTAAAGGCCCTGGGTTTAATCACCGGCACCACAAACAATAAATAAATTTTAAGAATGAACAAAACTAAGCATCTGACCCCTCAATCATCGTCTAGGGCACCATTTCCATTATCTTCCGTATTATCTGAATCCGCTCGTTCCAATGTAAGCAGAAGAAAGGCTGTGATTTTCCTGGCTTTTGGCGCTCTACCAACCGAGCTACACCTCCAGCCTCTAAGTATGCTTTTGGGTAAACGGAAGAACCGCGGGGCACGAAAGGCGAACGTGGCCGGAGGGCGCAGCAGCGGAGATCAGCCCCGAAGGCTGCAGTCTGCGGTTCGCGCGAATGGGAGGCGGACCCGGCCACGCGTCCGCCACCAGTCTTTGTTTTCTAGCTTCTTCGCGATCCCGCCCTCCCACTTCCGGGCACGGAAGCCACTTCACACCTGCGGGGTTCCCACCTGGACCACGCCTACCGGGCCGTCCCCCACCCGGGCGCGAACAGCGCAGCACAGAACACCCGGGGACCTGACCTATTTCAAGGCTGCGCGTCTTCGGGTCAGTTCGCGACCTAGCCGCAGGCATGCGCAGTGGGCAGAGCCCGGGCGGGAAACGGGGCCGCGCCCGCCTCTGATTTGCTGCTGCAGCGGACTCCCGCCCACCGGGGCACAGCGCTGGCTGCTGATTGGGTGTGGCCGCAGAGGCCGGACGAGGCCGCACGGCGAGGGCGGGCCGGCGGGAAACAGCCCGGCGAGTGCGGGGTCGCGAGGTGTTGTCGCCACAGCTGTGGAGAGGCAGCGCGATGGCGGTGCAGCCCAAGGAGACGCTGCAGCTGGAGAGCGCGGCCGAGGTCGGCTTCGTGCGTTTCTTCCAGGCCATGCCGGAGAAGCCGGCCACCACGGTGCGCCTGTTCGACCGCGGCGACTTCTACACGGCGCACGGCGAGGACGCGCTGCTGGCGGCCCGCGAGGTGTTCAAGACGCAGGGCGTGATCAAGTGCCTGGGGCCGGCAGGTGCGCGGCGGGTCCCGGCGGGGCGGCTCCGAGCCCCGCG